TATATACCATATACCTACATGGACCCTTTGGGAGACTAAAGCTTCCTCGGCCTTGCCTGTTCTTTACTATCCAGGCGTGCAACACAAGGAGGTTATAGCCTTTAACGCTTCATGTCGCAAGAGCTCGGGGGCTCCGTTGATCGCTTCCCCTTAAAAATGACCGCCACCCTCTTCCTAATAGTGGTTCGGGCGTTAAGGTGTCTATCATCGGCTGATTTTCAAAACGTTTATTAGGGGGGTTGCTGTAGCTCTCCAGGGCATCTCCTACAAGTGTCTGACCGGCTTACAACGTGCAATTTTGTGGGCTTCTGGTGATCCTCAGAGGTTTGGGACGAGGGTTGGTACAGGGTGTAGGCTAATGACAATGGAGGAGACATAATAGTATATTGCCTAAGTCCAAGGTCTCGCACACACCTTTAGGAGGCTTTATCTAGCGGGGGTAGTCATAGTAGCCGTACGCATGGGGTGTCCCCTTAAAACAGGGAGTGTGGTAGACCAGATGTCAAAAGAGAGCTCCCAGCTACCCGCCCATGCCGACAACGACTGACAAGTATCACAACATCACCGCAATGCCGCTCGTTGCTTTGTAAATGGTTCCATCTTGAGTTATCACCACTGTCACCACTGCTACTGCTGCGGATTCGTTACAATCTGCACCCTTGACACCGAGAGACTGAAACCGCCAAACTTGGATTTACGAGTTAAGCCCAGGTCAAGAGGACTTGAAGTGAGATTTCGAAGGCAGCAGTCGGGCAGGTCCTTGTTCTGGGTAGGGGTTGAGTTGAGTAACACAGGCATCCAGACCTGAACCATGGGACAGGAACTCGGAAATTAACACATGACAAGTTCGTGTCGTTTCAATTTTTTTGTTGGTGGACTTCTCTCTTCCTTGCTGAGTGCAGGGACGAGTGAAGATGTTGAGATTGCTTCAGGGACGGCAGCGGCGTAGCGTGTCAATTGAATGCCACTACAAAATGTTGCAAGCATGCAGAGTTGTCACACGCTGCGGCCAGAAAGGCTGTGCTACATTCCTTCGTGCAATGAAGGCTATACTGCATGTACACTACGCCGGTCAGTATGTCTTCCGACCGATGAATATGATTTCAATATGCCTGGGGGCACCCTGAAGCTAGGCCACGTTTGGGAATGGCTCAAACCTGCCAAGATGCAGGCACTTCGGCTTCACGAATCCCGCGGCTGAGCACTCTTGTGTGGTTTTCGGGAGGGAAATCCGGGATGCCAAAAGCGCCAAAACTTGATTGTACCCTCGGTGCCTGGGAACATATGCTTGAAAAGCCAGGCTTTATGGTTGCTAACAACCCACGTGCGCACATGTACAGAGGCGTTTCTCGCATAAGAGACCCTGAAAAAACCTAGGGAGAATAAGAAGACTATGGGCACCCCCTCTCGGAATTCTAAAAGGTTATTTTTCTACAACAGTACATAAATGCATACATACATAGATACATACATACATACATACATAATATGCCAGCTGTTTTGAAGATTCCTGGAAGTGCGGAGTCGTCCTCGGTGACTCCCTGCTTTGCCACTCGAATGTACCATCACTCTTTGGGGAAACGGCAGGATCTTCGGCTGAGCTGCTCATTCTGTGCCAAGACCTTACACGTCACCTTAATAGCTGTCAAAACTCGTGTCAAAATCTTAGGTACCAGCTGCACCATGTAGGTTGTTTCCCCAAGCTTGCCGAGAGACATTGCCGATGTTTCTGGAAGATTCAGTAAAAGCGGTTTCCCTTAATACACCCAAGCATACTTGGGACCGCCCCCCTACGAAGTAGGATGTTGGATTCTCTTCCAGGCCACTGGAGCAGGGGCTGCTAATCTACTATGTGCTTTGTAGGTTTCCTTCCTGATGGTTAGTAAAGAAAGGAAAAAAGACAATGAAACTAGCTTCTTATTCAGGTTTCAACGCCCAGGCTTTTGGGTTAAGCGTCTAGGGTCTAAGTTCTAGGGTTATTAGCAAATGAAGGAGTGGACACGCCCAGTAGTCCCTATAGAACCTCCAATATAGTGATTTCTACAATCCATTCACCAACTCTCTGCTAAGCATGGGGGTCAGATTCCATACATGAAGCTGGAGGCGCCCCTTGCATACACATGCACACAGATGCTGTAACTTATAACCTCCAAAGAAGTAACATCAAGCTGGAGCATCTGCCATGTTTCTCTGAGACCTCTGAGCGTCGCGCCTGAAAATCGAGGCGCAACCGGTGACAAAAGACTGTGTCTGCTGTTTAGGGCTTTACCATTCTCATCATTCAGGGTAATTTGGTATAAGTGGCTGCTTTGCATAGTTGGTATAAGGATACACGGGGCTATTACCAACTATGCGAGGCCCGTGCTCGCACAATATTTTCTACAGATAAGCCTGCCAGGAAGGCTCTGCTCCTGCATAAGGACCGCTTGAGTAGCATCCTTGCGAAACCCTGACCAAGATATTTGTGGACTGCTTGCGATGCTTGACGTTGAGCAGCAGCAGCAGCAGCAGCTGCTCCTCCACGATTCTCAGCGTTGCAAGGTGGGGCCTTGGATGTGGAACCATGAGGCATAGTCCGAGTTCATTGTGTATGCAACCTGCCTGTTCGGCTCACAGATTTCCGTTCCAACTTTTAAAGGCGGAGGGTCTAGGTACCCGAATTTGCAGTATTGGGCCCCCAGAGCCACTTCCCATGCAGGTCCCGGAACACTGGTGAAAGTGGTGCTATAGACCCTTTAGCGAAGGCTTTCTCACTCACAGAGCCGGGGGTCAACCCACGCCTGGGAGATGGACGCAGCCCGTTGGCTCTGGGCCCTACTAGGGTTTAGGGCTTATGGCTCAGGGTTTTGGGTTGAAAGTTATCAGGCTTCATCTTGCGCACCTCTAGCACATCGGTGCAAGCCCATTGTCCCCTGCTGAAGGACCAGGTTCAACTTTTGGGGCCATCATAGGAGCCCCTCTCTCCCAGTTAAAAAGCCAAGGCACAAGATGTGATTGACACCGTGGAGTTGGATGACTTCACTGTGACGGAGGTGCAGACCGGCTTTTCGGCTTCGCTGGCCCAAGTAGAAGCCAGAATCATCACCCATAAACAGAAAGTCAGACGGGAATAACGCAGAACATGATATGGCAAGCGGGAGTGGCGGGGTTCTAGGGATGTAGAAGTTTGAAGAATTAATGGTGATGTTATTCCCATGTAGTCCCTACACAACCTTAGGTACTCTAGCATAATCTTCCCAAAGCTCCTGTTCCAATTCTTAGACCCCGAACATTCCTCTTGAGGTTTGAGACTGAGGGTTTAGGATTAGTTTAGGATTAATCTTCTGGGTTTTCAGATTAATGCACGAGGTCTTCATCTACGGGCCACTTGAAATTCCTACATGGGTAGTTTGAAGCATCTACCTATGGACACCTGGGCCTTCTGGGTGTAGGGGTCAGCGTTTGGGTGCAGAGCTTCAGGGTTTCGTCTTCCGTCGTGTTGTCGTAACAGCAGGATCTGGCAGCGTGCGAGGGCATCAAAAGTCTTGTTTCCCTTGCGCAGGCACTGCATGGTATCTTGAAATACAGTAAAGGGGTTCTCCAAGAAAACATGTTCCTGGGGACCTGATAAGGGAGGTTTTAGCAGGAAACCTTGTCCGAAGAGAGTCCGCCAGCACAGCAGCAAGCCCTATTAAAGAACAACTGAAATGGCCATAACCCTATATCGTTGAGGGGCGGCCGTCCTAGGTACAAGGTAGGCTTCACAGTTTACGGTCCCTAAGTCCCTTTGTTTGTTCCAGGTGGACTAATGTTGTATTTATGGCAACGTTTTTACTTTTTTCTTTGTCCGGCGCCGCTTTGTTTTTCTGGGGCGCCCGCTATAGTAGCCCTGAACCACTCAACCCTAAACCCTACGCGCTCGCCCAGCTGAGGCTGGAAGATCATGGAGCAAAAGGGCGCCTACCTCGAATTCTTTGAGAGCCTGAAGGCAGCCGGCATAGAGACTCTCCCCAAACTTACGAAAATGCTAAAATTTCGGTGTCTGGAACTATAGGTGGGGTAAGATATGCGATACTGCTTCGTAGCACCTTTTCACGCCCCAAGTGACATGAGGCCACTGCCCCACGGTCCGCTCCAATGTTGAGACTTGGCTGTGGCACAGGTGGAGGTTCATATGTGTGGTTGTCAAAATTCTGGTCCCTTTTTGGATCCCTATAATAATACGGCAGCTAATATTTAGGGTACCCAAAAAGGGACCATATCTTTGACAACGACCCATATAACTGAGCAACAACTACTGTACCTTGAGGTGCATTCAAAGGGGTTGTGGGTGCCTAAAGGGCTTGGGATTCTGGATTTGGTCGCTACTCAAAAGCGGGCTTCTAACTGTACTTTCATCCCCCGCCATGTGGCCTTGTGCTGGTTACCCCAATTCTAAGCATCGTAACCCAAGTTTTACATCGTTGCGAAGCCTCTAGAATGTGCAAGCAGGTGCTGGGTCAGGCTGTAGGCTGTGATATTGGACCCTGTTTTGTCTGTGCCCCCCCCCAACAATTAACCCTAAACCCCAAAACCCTAAACCCTAAAATTGTTTGAGGGGTCTCAGCTGAATCCTATCTGGCTGTTCAGGGTTTCTAAGGAAATAGTAAGGTTTTAGCCATTAGGTGCCCTTAAGCTGAGCTCTGAGCCAGGGTTCGTAAGGAAATAGTAAGGTATTAGGGGTTTAGGGTTTAGGGTTTAGGGTATCCTTAAGCTCTGACTTGACCTTATTATAAAGGATGGATTCAATTAAAACTACACAAACATATGCCGACCCCGAATAATTTCCTCGAAGCTTGACATTAAAGAAGGTCCCTTTCATTAAGCGGGTCAAACATTAGTGGCAACAGTAAAGCAAGAAACCCTAATTCAACTGGCTGGACATGGCATCAGTTCAGCAAAGGAAGCGAGCGCACACCGCCTGGGAAGCCTTGGGGAAGCTCGTTGCTGGCCTGGGTGAGGGAAGCCAACTTCGCGCCAGCATGGAGACTGGGCAATTCAGGGTTCGAGTTAGAGCTAAATGTTTGGTTACGCGTGTACGGATATTTCTCAAATAGATGCATTGTCACCCATCTAAAGCATGAGCGAGTTGATCTGGGGGATGACAGAGATGCCAAACTGAGGTTCTTACAAGAAGGTCTCGGGTTTTACTCTTCTGGTGCTTCCTGCAGACTACAGGGGCCCTGATTCAGGCGGTGTGTGCCGTCGTCAGTTTCAACTAGACTGTGCTTCTTGGAGCCGACGAATGCGTTACGAGACTTCATTGGTTAGGATATGCGGCTTCGACACAACAATTTGTAGGACCCTGATCTAGGTCTGCAAGTCTGCAAAGCAGAGTTCTGAGCAAACGATAGCAAATGCTTCGGGGGAGGGCTGTAGGCCTGCACCTTACAACCTAAAACCGAAGTCCCTAGACTTCCGGCTCAGGGTTCATAGAGTTCTAGAAGGGCAAATCAGTAGGAACTCGCTCGACCTGACCCGAAATAAGTTAGCAGAACCCTTGCCCATTTTGGGTAACAATACCACCAGTCAACCCATTAGACGATTATTCCTATACTCCCCCCTACACCTCACCAACTATATCACTACTACTACCCCATTACCAATACCAGTATAGGA